CCTAGTTCGCCATTGCGAGATATTTTACGCAACAAAAATAGGAATCTCCTTTTTCCAACAAGAAACACAATCCTCCGCGTAAGACATTGTGTTTTTGAACGATCATAATAGCAATTCGCAATCGAAATTAGATTTTTAAATCAGACATTTAATCGGCCCTCGATCGCGAATTCTTCAAATACTGCAAGATTAAACGTGTTAATACTTTATAAGTGAACATTAATATTTAAATGGATTACAATATTCCGTTATTTTCCGAAACAATTTCAAAAACGTATAAGTTTACAATTTCAAATTAATATATATATCTTCAATTGTATAACATTGATGAAATGAACAACACATATTACATTTTTGTAATTAACGATAGAGAGAAAAAATCTTTATCAAAACAAAAGCACATAAAAATAATAATTATTTAAATAATCATTTAAAAGTCTGTAATTTATAGCATTCTGTATAAATACGTGACATCATCATACCTATTATTTGTGATTGCCTGATAATGCGTGCATTGTTGACCATAATATCTACACCACCTAACGTCTCGACTTGCGAGAATGCTTCATTGATCTCGTCCTCGCGATTTATATCGCAGCATATAGTACGCAACGTGCCCAAGGTTCGGGAACCTTCCTGCTTACATTCCGCATCAAGATTTGCTAATCGTTCTTTCCGGACATCCAAAGCAGTCACGTTCACGCCGTTTTGCAGAAGAGCATGTGTAATTGCCTCGCCGATACCGGATCCAGCGCCGGTAACGACTGCGGTTTTACCACGCCAACGAAGCATAATTGTCTGCAAGTACAACATAGCTCGCGATTGTCACTAATAACTATCGAGCCGAAAATAATGTCAGGCTTGTAAAAAACATATTCATAAGCATTCGCAATCGTAGCAACATTAAATTCAATAATGAATTTGTAAAAATGGCAATTTTCGATTAACAATGCCAACGTATATACTTACTTGTGTATCTTCTGTTTGCAACCGCCAAGAAAACTGATGTGATATGACATGCATTGTGAAAATCGTTATATTCCAAGATAAACTCGTGATAAGAATAGAAAAAATGTTTGATGTAGCAGATTAAACGTTAGGGTCAATATATGGACTGCGAATGGGAAATTCCGCACTTACGGAACGTTGAAACAAATACAGAGTATTTAAAAAAAGTACTTGTTCGGTATCTGTGTATCGTATAATATCAGCGTTGCGTATCAATTCAATGTTACGTAACGCTGATATGATACGCAAGTGTGTAGGCTATATAGCGATTTTAAAGTGAGCGTAATCAGGAATTTTATTAATCTCGAAGGTCTTATGATTACATACAGGACTAGGTATATGTATTTATAATAGTTTTCTATGGGGTTGACCGAGGCGAATCAGATCAATATAAGTTTTGAAACAGTTATCGATAATATTTTTTTTTTCGAATGAGCATAGACACAATAACAAATACAGTTTGATTGTTACAATTTTTTTTTCTAACCCTGTACTGAAGAAGTATTGTTTCATAATCATTAAAGATTACCAGTAATGATTTCAGGATAATATAAAAAAATTTTTTTTTTAATTTCTTATTGTTTTTGAAATTTTTATAATTCAATTTATATTCATATATTCCATATTCATATTCATATATTTTTGTCATATATACTATTTTAGTAATTTATTTTTTTAATTATTTTCAATTGTGTAATGTTTTACAATATTTAAAGACGCATTTGATACAACAGGATTCAAATCTAAGATTCCGGCAAGATTCTTAATTTTTTACTAATGCTGAGCTAATCGGGCGTTTACGATATAATGCAAGTTACTGCAGCATATAGTAACTAATTGATCTCGTATTTCTGAGATTGTGCGATAGAACGAATACTGAAAATAGTAATGATAGTTATTTGTAATGAATACATTAATGGTTATAAAAACGTACATTCTTGAAAAAAGAAACTTTTCAGTAATTATTTATTCTTTCAAACAATACTGTTTACGATCTTGATCTTTAGATGTTACTATAATATATGTTTTAACTGACATTATATTTTTAGGATGTATTTGTGTGTTAATATTAAAAGTTAAAATGAACGAAAATTCAACGATTACTGTTCTGTAACTCTCAGTGTAGAGCCTCCCCGGTGGATTGAATGGTAACATGCGTAATCTAAAATGAAGATACATGTAAAATGATTTTCCTATATTTATTAAAGAGCAAGTACGTTAATTAACAAGCCTTTGAACCTGAACTTCCGGTCGCGTTCCAAGAGCGTAAATGATAGCATCCGCTATGTCTGATGGTTGAAAAATTACATCTACTTTCTCATTCATTGTATCCGAATGTTCAGATATATCTGTTTTTACAGAACTAGGACTAATGGTCTGAAAAAACCAAACAAGTAAATGCCTATAATTATCTACATTGATAAAAGAAGCAAATTTAATATTTCATATATAAAAATAATATTATAAATTTTATATTATAATAACATTAAACATTTTTCCGATATAGATAACCAACTGTAACTGTTTACATTTGATCACACATATGAATATTTTATTATCTCAAAATGTTTATTATTAGAAATGTATCTGCAATTGTCATTCGCTTCTTTATTGTATAACAGTTTATATCGTAAGTATATTAATATTA